TCTCTCCAACCTCAACCCTTAGGGGCTCCTTCTGGGTGTGCTCACCTTAGTTTTTATGTGCTTTCGCAGCAATTATATCAGAACCTGCTTGTGTCCCGTTTGATTTTAAGAAGTTTGAGGCCTAGCGCACACACAGGTTTTCTCTCTGCACCTGCCAGGTACGTAACATGGTAGCTGGCACACAGTGGCCATTCAAATGTTTGCTGCATGAATAAACAAATGAAGTTAAGGTGTCCATACAAGGGTCAAAGGCAGATCAACTTCATCAGTCCTTGCTCTCACCACCAGGCTTACTCTTCGCGATGAAGGCCTTAAACTGGAAGCTGTAGGACTGCAAACTACAAAGTTCTTTTTGCCAAACCCTAACCCCCATGCTCACTGGCAAATGGGGGCCACTCAGGGCTCCAGAACAAATCAGTTTTCAAGTGCCTCAAAGCAATACAATGGATTAAACTCATCAATGGCCCCCATTGTTAATTCCCAAACAGGAAGAGAAAGTACTTCTCTGCAAAATAAAAGGTGATTGTTTGAAGGTGACTTTGAAATTCAAAGATCTTTTTATCAGAGTAGGCAGATGGTGCACCTACACAATAGGTATAATTTAGCCTTATATCCCAACCAATCCCATTTGCCTTTGGTGGCCTCCAGCAGCACAGGGACAGCTGTGTTCCTTTTCATTTAGCAGCACGTGAAGATCTCCACCCCCAGGAACCAGGTTCCAGGAGGCCTGGTGCCCAGTAGGCAGGGCTACTGGGACCCTCCTCAGCCCATCCTCCATCAGGCCGGCTATTGATTCCAGACAGCTTTGCACAATGCCCCAGTGTCTCCCCAGGGAACCTGCAGAGGGTGCATTGAGATGTGACAAAGTTTTGTTTCCCTGGTCTGGTTCCTGACTCAACTGCTTTCAACAGTGAAGTTTACAATCCACCACACCACCCTCCCGCTTTCCCCCCTCAGCTGCCAAAAGACAGGTTGCCTCTGCAGACATCTGCTGGGGAACACGGGG